TTTTTTTTTTTGGGGGTGGGGGGTGGGGAGTAGTTACTATACAATGTTACTGTAGCATAATATACTGTTCATGCTATAGTTATTGATCATTAGGTCTTTATTTCACTGCTGCATGTTCAAAATATTCTAGGACAAGTGAGATAATTTCTTCTGGAGTTATTTTAGATCGCTTAATCTTTTTGACAAGGTCGCAGCACGTCATGTGACAGATGCTAAACTGAGTTTCTCCACCAAGAAATTCTTTTATGGTCTAGAGTTGAAGAGTGAATTGAGTCAGATTGATGAAACAAACCAAAATACTAATTTCATACTGATGTCATTGCTTAATTTCTGAGGTCACAAGTAGCAAAATAAACCACATAAAAATAAGTTGAAAGTATACCTTATCCTTAATACCGCCTACAGGTAAAACTGAACCTCTCAGAGTCATCTCTCCTGTCATTGCCGTATCTGTTCGTACTTTCCTCTGACTGAACAGTGAAACCAGAGCGGTTACAAGAGTCACGCCAGCTGATGGTCCATCCTTAGGTATAGCCCCAGCAGGAAAATGTATGTGAATATCCCGGCCTTCAAGGAGATTAGTCTCCTCAGCAGTAGCCAACTTAAGTTGTGTTGCTCTCGCCCGTACCTGTAGAGGAAGAAAGAACAATAAAGTTAATGAAAACAAAAAGAAACTTTTTAAATTCACAAAACCATTTTGCTTTCTGGACCAGACAGAAATGTGCAAGATGTGTATAATGCATCAATTACATAGTATACAGAACTTTGCATCATTAGTCAGTATTTATCAAATAAAGGGAAATGGAAGAATTGTACGTTTAATCAACTTGGAAACTTTTTATGGAGATAATGTAGAACCTAGACTGAGATTAAAAAAATGCGATGGTAAAAAAATGGTAATTTGCAGATCTTCNCAGTTCATACAACATTCCTCGTGTTTTTGCGTCTTGTCACCATATTAGAACTTCTTCCCATCTCTTACAAACCTATGTGAATGGCTTACAAAAATGGGAAGAAGAACATAGCAACTCTCAATTTCTTTCTTACATTGCTTTACGGATATCTAAAAGTCATCTGCACTGCAATATTATATACTCCCATGCCCTGTAGTTATTGCTACATTTGCTACAATACACAGTCAAACTCCAATTTTAGATTAATATTCTATATTAGTTTACTTTTTGATAAGATAAAAGTTTCCAATAAATGAAAAGTTCAACTGCCACTTGACAATGTTTGTTACTCCAACAAATTCAAAGTTTTTAAAACTCTCTAATATCGCCTCTTATATGAAATGAATTTTTGTACCTATAGGGATTTAAGTCATATAAACGAAATTTAACTGCATACCTAAAAAGTGGGAATTAAAGTATTATGCAGAGTCTATTAAAAATCTAATGAAATTAAATGACACTGTTGAAAGAGTCAATAAAACAAAACGTGCAGTTCAAAGTGTCTTGTGAATTGATGTCCAGGACCCCTTTTTGAGAAACATAAAATATATTCAATGCTAGCAGATAAGTACCAGTTCTTCTAATAGCTAAATTCATAACCACAGTTCTTAAAATTTTTGAGCCATAAGCCCCAACTTTCACAACGGCATATGGGCTGCTGCAAGCTCTGCGACATTGATATTAAACCCTCACATTCGAAACACTTGGAAAACTCCATACAACGTCTCAAAGTATAGTGCCGTTTCCTTTAGGAACCCAAGACCAGGTTTTTAAACAACAGTAGCAAGCCAAGCCTCCAGCCTTATAATGATAATTATGTACTACAGTAGCCATTTAATGAGGCACAGGTCCACTAAGCTCACAAGACACATTTCACTTCTCCAACTGTTAAAAACACTTGACTAGCACCAAGTACTAGAGTCATGCCATTGCTTCAGAGCATATGCACGAGGACCATGACCCCATTTTCATTAAAAACTAATGCTCACGACAAGGATGGGACTGTTCCATCTCCCATCAAATCTATGTAAGGAAAGGCTTACCCATGTCATTGCAATCTGGGCTGATTCTTTAATAACATCCCCAAGTTGGCCAGTGAGATGTAGATCACCTTTTCCCACCATTGCAGTAGCTTCAACAAATTGAACCTCTCCACCAAAGGCTGTCCATACGAGTCCAACAGATATACCAGGAGTTGCAATGCGATCTGCAGTCTCCCTGTCATCATATCTTGGGGGCTGCATTTCCATCATACAGAACATACATCATTTCCGAAATGAACTCAAGATATGAAAAGAACAATGATGCTTGAAAGATCTTTTTGTTGTCCCTATATGTCCAAGCTGCTTTAGCCAAAATAATCCATGTTTTTCAATTTTATTTTTAGATTCATAACTTTAAAGTAAATACTACTTACCCCCAGTACTTTCTCCAACATAGCTTCATCCACAACCAAAGGTGACGTGATCCTTAATGCCTGTGAGATATCATGATTGTTAACACCCATGGGAATGATTTCCATTTCAACGTCAGCTCCATCAGCAAGTCTGCTCTCCAACAAAGGTGAGGCAATTTGCTGGACATCTTTGCTAAGCGGTATGGCATGTTCTCGTTCTGCAACTCTAACAGCTGCTGCACGAGCTATGGCAGCCAAGTTTCTCTCCAGATTACGGACTCCAGCTTCTCTTGTGTACCTTTGAATGACAAGTTTCACCATAGCCTGCCACAACAGCAAGTTCCACATCACATGTATAAGCATCATCATTTTTGGTCAATATAACACTTTTCACAGACCAAGTTTAGCAGTTGATAGGTATCAAGGGAATTGAAAATAGGACNAGAAAGAAAGAAAAAACTGAAAAACAGGACATACTGAACTGGAAATGCTATAAAAATATGAGACCAGCTGAAGATAGCATCACGGAAAACAAAAGCATGCATATTTAGTATTCCAAGGTCAATCTATCTGGTGTGAAGCATTAAGCAATTTGCAGTCACTTGCACAATCACGTCTAAAGACATAATCATAATTCAAACTAAATAAATGTGAGACAAATGATAAATGAAAAATTCAATACCTCAGGAATTTGAAGGAAATCAAAATTCAAACCATGCTGATCCAGTACTCGTGGAATTAAATGCCTCATTGCTATATTAAGTTTTTCTTCAGGTGTATAGCCAGGCAGCTCAATGACTTCCATCCTGTCTAAGAGTGGTGGAGGGACAGGCTGCACTCTGTTGGCAGTAGCAACAAAAATGACCTTTGAAAGGTCATAGGGCACGTTCAAATAGCTAACAACTCTAGTTAAGAAATCACTATGTAAATAAATTTTCCACGAGGTTAAGAAATGATAAATCACTCATTTTTTGTAGCTTGACACATATACACTAATTGAGGTCCATCAAAAAAGTACACTTATAAAAAAAGAAAAGAAAAAAAAAAAAAAAAAGGTCCATCAAAACTACAAGCATGTTCGTGTTTCTTCATCAGTGCATGCCCAAGGCAAAATCAAATTGCATACTTCTATACAATAAATTCTTTTTTTAACTAATTTCCTTTTCCCAATCATAATAATGAAGAAGAATGTTTTGCAAAAAGATATGCTCACGAAACAAAAGATATGTAAAAAAGAACAACATAAAGTGAAGCAGAGTGGCAGTTATAAATGTCCCAAGATGAAACTCACCTGCAAGGAAAAGAATTGTATCATCATTGAGCTCTCAAGTTGCAGTTCAAAAGAAGTCAATCTATAGATATAGTTACCAACTAACTGTGCAGTCCAGAGATCAACATTAAAAACATCTGGCTTGTGTATATGCGTGTCAACTAGAATGTCAACCAGTCAAATTTAGGACAACATAAAAACATGTAACTTTTTTGTAACGTGTAGTAAAGAAATGAAGATAATGATGATGATGATTGGATACTGATCATTAAATGTTTTGTTTTGCTCAGGATCAAGAACTTCAAGTAGCGCTGAGGCAGGATCACCGCGAACATCAGAACCTGTTTTGTCAATCTCATCCAGAAGCATAACTGGATTGCAAACACCTACTCTCTGAAAGTGGTAAATGGAAAGAGCTCTTTTACATTTACCAAGAAAAAATCTTTAATGTAAACCTGTTATCAGGCTCCAGAGTCCAGAAAAGAAAAATATATATTAACTATAAAGATTAGTTCTTCCAACTAAACCCATTAAAGTGTAACAAAATATTAACCAGCCCCATGGAATTGGGAAGTGGATAAATTCCTGCACAAGGAAAATAGTCGTTTTCAAAGTTGGTCAGTATCAAAATTCACATTTACCACACTTAAAACTCTCACTATCGTTCATAGGAATTTCATAGGCCTCTAATTTCCAGAATCATCCAACCCCTTGGTGGATCAGCAACCCCACCCCCCCAACCCTTCAATCCCCGACCTTAAAATATTTACATGAATCCCCTTCAAAATGTTTGTATTGCTTGATAGCATCCTTTAAAATTTATGTCCTCCCGACCTCCAGTCTCCCGACAAAAAGGAAAGACAACACTAAATTTTATGACAGCCTAATCTCAAAATTATCTGACAGCTCAAAAATGGGCTCACACCATGCTCGGAGCACTCAACAACTTATAGTGCCTCAATGAGTAGAAGCTTTGGATGGACACCCTCTGATATTGAGGGGCAGAAACTGAAACCTTACATACATGTTCTAGTATATACACATTGAACAGTAAACTCATTCAATTATTTGTTCATTCATGTGACATACTCTTGGGGAACTAGGCAGAATCCTATAAACTGTATAATATGGGACAAACAGAATCACCAATATACCCATTCCTAGGTAGAAAATTCAATATCCAATACGTGACCTTTCATAGACCTCCTTTATGACACCCATCTTATCCAAGAACTTAACAATAATTAAGAAATGTTCTATTTGATCTATCTAATGCCTTCATACCTTCAACCCATCAATAAGACGTCCAGGCATGCTTCCAATGTACGTTCGTCTATGCCCTCTAATATCTGCCTCGTCCTTCACACCACCAAGAGATATGCGAACAAATTTTCTGCCCAAAGCAGTGGCAATGGATGAAGCTAACGACGTCTTCCCAACACCTGGTGGACCAACAAAACACAATACTGGGCCTCTTGCATCTGGTTTGAGCTGAATGACACAT